GTTTTTTTTTGTTGAGTTTTTTTTTTGTTTTGTTTTGTTTTTGGTGGTCAATATCAATTTTCCGTCGATTTTGGCTTTTTGTTTAGTAGGGCTTCTTGTTCCCCCTCCAGGCTGCCAGTTGGATGGTATACGAGAAACAGTACCATTCTTCCTGTTAATGAACTCTTTTTTAAGTCATTTTTTCTCATTTGACCCTTCCATGGAGCAGAAGCAAATTGCGTGAAATTACCTCCAAGGATTACATTTATTACTGGCCAATGAGAACCCCTCGCCTTGTTTTACAAACTCTTAATCCTATGTCATTCTGATGCCGCAAACAAGCCCGGTCCTGGGCCTCCTATTCTTTCAACTTTCCCCAGCTGGAGGGACCTCATTCTGCACTTAATATTCCCCATAAATATCACACGCTAAAGACCCCCTGACTTCCAGCAAGTTCACATTAAACATGTGACATGTCACGCATGACAAACTCTGAGTATCTTTTCAAAGCAGCATTAAAAGCAAAGAAACCAATTTTCTTCTCCTTCCAAACCTCCCCAAGTGCTGAATGATGGGGATTGGAAAGAGCCACTGGAGCGTACTTAGGGGGATTTTATGAGATTTTCCAGAATGATTTAATCTTATTGTGAGCATTATTAATGAATGGCAACCCAATTTGGCCCCAATATCTGGGAACTCGGTCACAATGCTGGGAGCGGCTGACCCCCCCAACCTTAAGCAAACCTCTTCCACTGTGGAGGAGGACATGCAGAGCCCCGGGGAGTTCAGGAGAGCCCAGTTCAGGGCATGGCTGTCTCCTGTCACACCCAGGGCAGCATGGCCCAACACCTGCTTTCCCAGGGCCACCCCCATAGCATCTTGGGGTGAGGGGTGATACATAGCCCATAGCCCGGTATGGGCCTCTGAGGGAGGGTTGAGAGGAAGAGGCAAGTTAATTTGCTACATTTTCAGACAGGTCAGCCAGATCTGGAGGAGGCCCCAGAAGGCAAAAAGGGGCCAATTGGCACAGTATTACTAGCAGTGTTCTTCCATCACCCACTACCCATGGACTGGACTGTGGACGGTAGTTGCGGTAGACATCTCAGGTGTGTGGTGAGGAAGGTAGCAAGTGAATGAATTAGGGAGTGTGACTATTGAAGAGAAGGTTTGGGACCACTTGGGACTTGAAACTCAGTCTTAAAGTCACTGAAATTGGCCCTGACCCATTTCCCATATTTTCTCTTACTACTCCCCTCCCAACCCAACTGGGCAAACATTTATTACCGTTGTTTTTGACTTACAATATCAAGAGTCAACGCACCTGTAGTTCTCTTATTAGTATCGTTTAAAGTGCAGAGATTTTACTAGAATGGAAAAAGGGGCTTATGTTAGAGGAAAGGAAATTATACGTAAGTTAGTCCAACTTGCTTTTAGAGAAAAAAATGTGTACGTGAGCATGTGTATACACAAAAGTGTGTCTGAATGAGGGGGGTCTTACATGGGGTCTAAAATGGTATTTTGGAACACAGAGTTCCCTGGAGCAACTGCATATTTAACTGACAGTGGCAGCCTGGCTGGGGGTGGGGAGAAGAAAACCCACTACCTGACAGAGAGAAAGCATTTTTCAAAGGAAAAAGTCATGTTGTCCCTTGACGTTATTAACGGTCCAGTTTGAAGTATACATTTTTTTTCCTTTAAAGAAAAGGGAGCGATTACCAGTTATACATTAAGAAATGTCATTCAGTCATTTTTATTCATTCTCCGGAAATCTTCGTAAAAGCCTGAATCATACTTCTACAAGCAGCAATTTTGTTAATCCAGGGGGTTATTACTCTGGGCCCTTATTAGGTTCTACACCACTGCCAAGCAATCCTATAACCCTCTCAAAAGAAGTTTACCTCCCTGTTATAAAACCAGTAGTGGTATTTATACTGTGCAATAATTAGTGTATTACTTGAATCCACTAACACGTTCATTTTATCTCTGCACAAAACCTCTAGTCTGCTTATAGAAAGCTTGTGCCTCCTTTGGTGCTGTTAAAGTGGTGAAAGAGTGAATTGAAGGCTGGTTGCACTTTCTCCTTTTGCCTCGCCTTAATTCCCATCTCTTTTTGCTCTCATCCAATTAGCACAGTGTATTAAGCGGTTTATCATCTCATAGTCAGCTATTGAGAGAAACAAGGCGAGCACTTTGCAATAGAACCTGCGCTCCTTTGACACCCTCAGGTACTTACATATTCCACTGCGCTATGAATAATAGAGGAAGAATGGAGCGCTAATTCCCTCATCAAAGAATGCCTTGTCTGCTGCTTTGCTCAACAACACCATTCTGATCAAAAGAAAAGCAATAAAGCTTAGCATAACAAAACGAAACCTACTTATTAGCTTAGTGGTTAAATTAATGCAGAGCCGCTGCTATTCAAAACCAAGGTTTGAAAACAGCCTCCAACAACCTGATAATGCTGCCTTCGGGATGAAGGAATTTTAATCTGAAATTTGAGGCTGGCTCAGATGAGTTAATCTATTAAACTGCTATAAGGAAGCTCCACCACAAATCGTTCAATTAAGAAATATTTAGGTGAGGCGGGGGGAGAGAGAGGAGAGAGGTGAGAGGAGGAAAATACAGTTTTAAGTTTGGTAAGGGAGAACTGAATAGCACCAAATTGAGGAGTCAGGGATCCTGACAAGAGGGTCTGGGGCTTGGTGTTTTTCATAAAACCCTGATAGATAGGAAAATCTGTTTTTGGAGTTTCTTTATCCTTGTATCTTCTGACAAACTCATTTTAAATGATGCTTAAAATGTATGTCAAGGTCTGTATGTGTGTGTGTTGGAGGCAAGAGGTGGCAGGGCTGGAGAAAGGGGTGGTGGAGAGGGGCAGTGAATTATTAATTCCCTTTCAACATCTCCCAAACTCCAGTCTGAGAACTTTGATTAGTCCCCACATCCTGGGCCACAGTCATGCGATTAACTCCATCTGTTTTCTAGCCAAATTAAAACCTTATCAAGCATGGTCTTTTTAGGATTTTCAACTTCTGGCCTCCTCTATCCACCTTTACATGAAGGAGAGTTGAGAGTAAGCAAATTATGTCCAAGATAAGCCTGTGTGCAAGGATCAGATTCTAGATCCTAAACAGAAAAGGTACCCTTTTTCAGAGGCATAGGGCTCTGAGAAGAGCCAGGTTTTGTAGGGTGCCATTTCCCCACTGGCCTGGATAAACTTTAGCCCAGAGGTGTAGCCTGGCTCACATAGTGTTTAAAATTTTATTTAAAAAAATTAGGCCAAGTGTGGAAGCTCATGCCTGTAATCCTAGCACTCTGGGAGGCCGAGGCAGGAGAATCACTTGAACTCAGGAGTTTGAGACCAGCCTGAGCAAGAGTAAGATACTATCTGTACCAAAAATAGAAAAATTAGCCGGGCATGGTGGCTCATGCCTGTAGTCCCAGCTACTCAGGAGGCTGAGGCAGGAGGATCCCTTGAGCCCAGGAGTTTCAGGTTACAGTGAGCTATGATCATGCCACTGTACTCCACTGCACTCTACTTGGGTGAGAGAAAGGGACCCTGTCTCAGAAAAAAAAAAAAAAATTCTAAAAAATAAAAAAAAAGAAGAAAAGAAAGAAAATTAGTTGCTAGAGTTTAGAAATTGAGAAACTTTATTGACTATTTGGATTCCTGGCTTCTCTTGAAAACTAGATCATGTGGCTACACTGGCACTGTCCCTCCCAGCATCACTGAATAGCTGCTGCTCCCTTTGGACAGGACCTGCCCACTCTAGTTTGCCATAGTCCCTGCCACTCTCTAGTGTGAACTCGGCTTGCTTCATCCATTCACTTTTAGAGTTTGAGCTTAAGATCCCTGCCAGAGAGCCCATGTAGACATATGGGTAGGTTCTCCTCTTACAGAGAAGTGGGTGGCATTTCCATGCCAGTTCTGCCCAATGTGCCATTAACCAACACAAATCAAAGAGTAGAAAATATTCTCAGAGAAAAGTGAGTATCCAATCTTCCAACAGAGATCCACTGGAATTCTTAATCAAAGTAGTAGTTTCACCTTTCCATACAATTCTGGAATCCATAGGTGCCTGGAGTTATAACAGATTGAAATAAGAAAACATCAACTGTTGCATTAGCTTTATTCAGGGACTGTACTTAGAAACATCTGACATTCTATAGAAATGGTCCCTCTCCTCACAGGGATGACAATTAGAGGTAGAGACAAACAATCCAGTGAGAAGCCTTCTGGAGTTTCTTGATGACCAAGTTCAGGATAACTATTTATATTTAATATAATCCCAGCTCCCAGAAATCAAGGAAAACGTACCTTCTCTTCAGAAAGCAAAGTTGGGGATTGGGTTCTGGAAGCACACATTAGAGAACCATCTCTATAAGTTTATATGATAATAGCAATTATCAAAAGAGTTGACCAGAGGAACAATAAAACCACATTAATCCCTTAGTCTCCTGAAGCAACTTGGGCGTCCCAACTTGTGACGGGCTACAGAGCTTGAAGTTAGTTAACCAGGTTAGTTAACTGACACGGCTCTAAACCCATAGTGTTTCTACTTAGAACCTGAATGTAAGAGGATGAGGGGAAAAGAGGAGAGGGGTGAGATCTTGAAGGGAGAGGTGAAGGAGGGAAAAGAGAAGAAAAAGCAAGGCTACGGGACTTGCTTCTGGGAGACCTTTCTCCTAAGAGCCATTGGCCTTGTTCTTCAAAAAGAGACACCGCCAATTTCTTGGCTTTGCTCTCTTTGGCTGCCCAAGTCAGCAAAGCATATGAGCAACCATACTTCATCTCTTAAAGGACCCAAAGTCCACAGAAATTCTCCTAAATGCATCTCAGAACATTCGGCCAAACATGTGCCAAGAAACCCTGAGCTGGGTTCCAATCGATCGATAGATTGGGGTGGTTATGAAAGAAAACTGGGCTGAGGTCTGGGAAGGTGATGGCTTGTAATCATATATGTATTTTTTCTAAAGAGACAGGGTCTTGCTATGTTGCCCAGGCTGGACTTGAACTTCTAGGCTCAAGTGATCCTACTGCCTCAGCCTCCTGAGTAGCTGGGACTACACGCATGAGCCACTGTGCCCACTTTAGTCATATTTTGCTCCTTGCTGCCCCTCTGGTCAACTTTTTGTACCTGATAAGGATTCACCGCAACTGCTGTCCCTTTAGAAAACTTTATTAAAGACAGAACATATTTTTCTTTTATAAAAACACATAGGTAAACATTTGTGAAAACCATAGCATAATTATACAAGGGGAAACATTTCGTTAGCATAATCTTACCAATAATGTAAGAAAGGAAAGACTGCCATATTGAAAGACATTTTGCTGCTGGCAAAGAGGGCACCATTCTGTAGAAATGAGGAAAAATAGCAAGCACCAGGGCCAATTAACCCCCCCACCATTTGTCTGAATACAACACAGTGATCCTTGCCCCAACCTTTATGAATTTTTAATGAAATCTTAGGATACAAAATTATTTTAAACATGCTTTCCTGTCACATAAACCTTTACCTGCACTTTCTATTGAAGGGAAAAAAAGGGAATGTGAGTATAAAACACCTGCTCAGTATGTGTCTGTTGGACTTTGGAGCAATTCAATAAACAAGCTCGCTCTGTTTAATCTATTTAGTGAGTGCAAGGCTTCTAAATCTCCCCTCTCAGCTACTTATATAAAAGACAAGACTGAAAAGGACAGCCACTCCTGGAGCAAGAGGCTGGGGAAGCATTTAGATTTCGACTGGGTTTAATTGGCGTGTGAAAAGGCAAAATGTTAGGCTTCAGCCAGGCTCTCTTTCTGGGGGCACCTCAGCTAAAGGCCCTGGGGCAAAGCCTGGGGTCACTTACATTCCAGCTACTCTCAATCAAAGTAGCAATTTCCCTCCCCCAGAAACCCAGGCCCCAGTATTCAAAGTCTTCAGGTGCTTGAGGAAGAGCTCTGGGGTTGTGTTTCAAAGTGGGGGTATATCTTAATATGAAGGCTGTTGGGGTTTTCTCTGCTGCTTAGTAGATTAAATATTTTTACAATCACCCCTCCAGGTCCACATTCACACAAACGTGAGACAAGTCCCAAAGGGAAAAGCAGAGGCTGGAGAAGCAATTAGGGCCGGAGGGGAGGCGAAGAGGAAGCTGGGATTTTTCAACTACCCCCTCCTTGTTCGCTCCTGGGATTCCCTTAGGACTTCACAGCACAACCAGCGAAGAGTTTGCTGAGGTTCACTTCGGAGTAGCCACTTCGGGACAAGAACTGCTCTGCTGTGTTCTTGAGTTTTTTATAGTCCTGAAGAACTTGGGGGGTAAGAAATTGCTTCTTCAGTTTATCTAAAAAGAAGTAAAAATCAAACGATTAGAAGTCTCAGAGATAGCTTATTTAAGGACCATTTAGTATTCATTAGGCACTAGAGAAGGGGGTGCGGGTTCTGGTAATAGCTCCACATCTCAGATGTCCTCTTTGGTCTACCCCTGGGACCAGTCCAATGTAGCCCCTGCTCCCCGAATCCTCTGTGCAAGCATTTCTTCCTTTCCCTGCCTGCCCACCACTTCTCAGCGCCTAGCTGACTCAGCACACTGGGCGACTGGGACACCCTCTCCTGATGATGCAAACTGCAGGTGCGCACCCATGTGCGGCAGACAAGGTGAGCTCCACTTGCAGGCACCACTTGCACAGCGCTGTCGAGCACGTGTGTGCAACTGCACGCGAACTCTGGATGTGGCAGGAAATACCTTGTCTCAAAGGAAGGTATGGCCCCTAGTGCCTCCCAGCCCAAACTCCCCACATCAACTGGACCTAGTCAGCTTCTTCTAGCCCCTCCTGTCTGCATCCCTCTGCTAAACAAAACCTCCCTCTGCTGAAAGAGGTGAGGGGTAAGCTGCCCAGAGAACACTTTTGCATTGCTGAGATTTCTTTTTTCTTCTTTGTCCACACTGTGTGAACTCAGGGTATGCAACGCCCCTGCCTCCTGCTCCTTCAACCCATTCATCCCTGGCCTTCCTGTTCTGAGGAGGGTGCTACCAGCCAGAGAAAAGATCCTTCCTTTCCCTCCCCAGAGCCTGCTCCTGCTACTTCTATGCTTTTATTCTTTTAAAGGAACAGTAGAGTTGTGATGCTCAGGCCTGATCTTTTGGAGAAAGAGGGTGATCTTGGGGGAATCAACTGCCCAGGATGGTTAAGATGACACTGTCTATGTTCAAACCTGCTTGGGAACCATGTAAGGTGTTTGGAGAGGCCAATATTTTTTTGTCCCCATTTTATAGTGGAGGAAACTGAGAGGGTAAGTCACTTGCCCAAGGTCACACAGCAGATAAATCAGGGATGTAGACATTCAAATTCAGGGAGCCAGAACCCCCAGCCCACCCATGAGGAGAGGCTCACTTCTGCACCCTCCCCCCAATCACTGCTTTCAGATAGAGATGGGCAGGCCCCAGAAACTGGTGGTTCCTGAGGCGAGGGCCCCACAGATGCCAGCCCGCGCCAAGGTGCCGGGGAGGAACGAGGCTGCTCAGAAACACGAAGGCAGAGCACCGCACGCACAGAAAGCAAAGCCTCGCTGAAACAGCAAAACAACACGCAAGTCCACAAAACACCTGGAAGACGGAAACTCTGTCTCAAGATTTTTGTTCCTTAGCTACACATTCACATTTGTTCTCTACAACCTTTTCTGAATTACATCAATTGCCTTTCAAAAAACAACTTTTGTGGAGGATTTAAATGCCCAAAGTGGGTGGAAAAAGAGAGGACAGAAGCCCCCCACCCCCATCGTTAACTGAACTGACTATAGAAAGACAATTTGAAAGTTCTAATTATCAGAGTCCGGGAATATACAACAATGGCCCCAACCAGCGTAGGCTGCCTCCCGGCAGGCCAGAGCCACAGGCCAGCAACCCCGTGCATGTGAATGACACAAATGCATCTGATGACTGGGGAGAGCACATTTAAAGAGCTGCGGTAATACAGAGCAGGGGAGGAAGAGAGAGGACATAGCTCCTGATGTGTTTACCTCCTCTGCTGATGGGATATTGACTTTTCCCACCAGGTTGGTTAGAAAGGGGACTATTTACGCTGCCACACAGCAGAGTTAGAATGACAACCAGCGTCACTCGGTGCTCTTCTTCGTAAAAGACAACTGTGACCGCCAGCATATCCCATAGCCAGTCAATACAGCCAAGGCTCCGTTCCCTGCCAGTTAGAGATGCAGATAAAAGCTCCCACTTGCTTCCCCAATGAGAATTTAATCAATAACATATGGAAGGGCTTCTCAGAAACAGAACTGGACAAGCTGTCACAGGCTGCATTGGGGGGAGGAGTGGGGGAGGGGGAAGGAGTCACCCCTTCTTCATGGTTTTTCTCATCCCCCCTTTAGGCACCTGGGCCACCCATATTGGGCCTCACATTAAACTGTTACCCTGTTTCTGTCAATACTACACCTACCGCTTTAGAACTCAAGGGAAAATACAGGTGTTAAATGGTGGAAGCCAGTTAATGTGGCCAATAAAAGCCCCATTCCTTTCCCTGCTCTGGTTTGGGGAGTCTACTGATAAAGATGCCATGGCCACAGGAGCTGCAGGCCAGGCACCTGAGGGCAACGACTGTTATAAGATTCTAACAGGTCATTAGGCAAGAGGGAGAGAAGATCCACAGCCATCCTGTCCTTGTCCACAGAGATGCCACTGGCATGACACATCCAAACTGCATCAAGATAGGGAAGGAAATGCTCTTCCTACACAAAAGTACATCAGCGAAACAGACTCTAATGTCTTGAAAAATTTCCAGATTTTCACCCAGAAATCACTCATCTTAATACACCAGCAGCAAAACCAATCTTTTCTTACTTTTCCTGTCAATAACATTAGAGGACCATGTATCCAAAGCTTATTTATTTACTCTGGTCCTTTCTGCATGCTCTGATTCCTTATGGTTATGTACTAATTACTAAAAATATTCTGTCCCAAACCCCTATGAAAACAATGAAAAGTTAGCCTAGATAATTCACAAAATATTTTATCATACAATAAAATGAACCACTAATTTAAAAGTTGGTTTCTACTGATCAGACTCTAAAACCTGAAAATCGTGCAAGTTATAATATTTTCTACATGGAATGAACTAGATTATCATTTGCAGGTTGAACTTGTCTTAAATATTTTATTTAAGAGTCAACTGATAAAAAAATGCTAGCACTGTTAAAAAAAAAAAGGAATATTCTTCCATGTAAGAAAACTATCTCTACTTCACATATGTTAGTTCCATGCCAATAAACTGAAAATCTCTTTTCATCTTTTCTCTTTATAAAATGCTTTTTGGTCTTAAAGAAACACACTGAACTAGAAACCACGAGGCAAAGACATTTTAACATCGCCTACTGGTTATTTTATTTTAATTAAGGCAGGCTTAGGCACACAGGCAGCAGCCGTCTCTGTTCTGAATGTCTGTTTCATTTATTTCCGTGCAAAGGTATCAAACAACAGTCAGTTATAATTGATTCTGTCAGGTGTTATACAGTCAGTCATAATTGTCTCTGTGTAGAGGTGTGTCAATTTACTATATCTGAATTAAATATTCTGTCAATTATGAAATCAGGTAATAATTTCAGTCAGTTTTTTAATTGCATGGCTTCCCACCATACAGTTCTCAGCTCTCCCACCTTTTCCAATCCATAGCCTCCCTCCCTCAATGCGAAGTGAGCTTTGCAGTAAGGGGTGGAATGCAGGAAGCTTTAGGAATTTTCAAAGAAAACTGCGCCCCTCTACACTCTCTAATGCAGAGCCATCCAACCTATAGAGAGCTGTTGGAGCCTCTGGGCTGACTGCCATTCTCCTGAGTATCAATCCATAACTGAGTCTTGGGCTATGCGCAGCATCTGAAAGATTTCAAGTGACATCCATATTTCAAAGACAAAGACATTTAGGGCCCCAAACCAAATGACAAGTCTATAAACACTTCTCGATCAAAATAAGACATAAAAAGATATCATTTCTGAGCCAATTCTTATTTAGACAAAACATTCACAAGGCACGGTGCCAGGCACACACGGAGTGTAATATGTTTATCGACTAGCCAATGCCTAGAGGACCATTCTTGTCCATTAAATCACATCTTAGATGCTAAGCTATTTCTGAGGGCTGAAGAGTCTCTCTGTTAGTCTACTATCCAGTTCCATTGCTACTTATAAATAATTATCTTCAGTTTTCTTTTTTTTCCCTTCTTTTTTGTTGATACCAAAATACAGCCTTCAAGCAGAATAAAATATCCATGGTTTTAGCTCAAGTGCTCTACTAGGCTGATCTGACAAGTATTTAGAAGTGTGATTATAATTCTCTCCACCACTGGTCTGGTTCATATGCAATAAACACAGGCTTGCTGCAGCCTGGTGGTGGTGAACAATGACCCTTCACACTTGAAGCAAATGGAGGTGCTGCAGGGCCCAACTGCCAGGAAGGCTGGTCACTGGAAGTTTGGGAAAGAGCAGAGGGTGATGCGAGGGGGGAGGAGATGGGGTGAGGCAATGTAAAGAATGCTACTTCTACAGTGAAAAATAGAAGGTGAGAGTCATGCCCCTTACCATGTTTCAGTGGAGAAAGAGTCACCTTGAAAGAGATCAAAAATTTCCTTTCAACTGGATGAAGTGATTCTATCAGGGTTGGGTTTTGGGTGTTTGTATTTGTCATGTCGGAAGAAAATTGCCCATGCAGCCCCCTTGCTGAGGTTATAAAAAGTACTGTCAACCATACTGGACAGAAAATTTTTTGGGGGGGGGGTGCGGAGAGGGAAAAAACACATTGTGCAGGATCATTAAGCACTGTTGTATAAATAAAGTTAGAAGATCAAACGAAAGAGGGGACTCGGGTTAAATGCTGGAAGACAAGCTTAAATAAAGTTCTAAGAAAAAAGCAAGGCACGCTGTAATTCCAAGAACCTATTACTTCAGACAATTTACTTCAAAAAATAAAATCAGAATGGTAAATGATTACCCAAAAGCAATCATGTCATCATCACTGAGAGATGGAATAAAATAATTTTTTGTGAAGTGGCTGAATGAGAGCAACTTAAAAGCCACGGAGCCTGTCAGAAGCACATTATTTCTTTTTACACCCCGTTTCCCAATTCATCTCAGTGCTGCTGACTAACCTCGGCTCCCAGCAGGTGGAGCATTTAAAATAAATAGCATTTCCTACAAAACGCGCTCCAACTGCCCCATGACAGACGCTTCCAATTCCCGGCCAGCCACTGGATCAGCTTCAGCGGTATCTAACAAGGTGTAAATACAATAACAAGCATGTAATTAAGTGAGCATGATGAAGTTAATGGAGATAATTCATTCCAT